TATATATATATATATATATATATATATATATACATATATATGTTCATTCAAAGTAAAACTGATTCGTTTGTGATAATAGTGAGATCGAATTTCAACCACAAATCAGTTGATAAATTAGAAAACTAATATTTTTGGTAATTTGACTTAAAATTTTAATTTAAGGGCATTTTAGGTATTTTAATTTTTTTTATCTCTCATCTATCTCTCTCTACTACCTCCGGCCTCGACGAACACCATGTGGTACCCAAAATACGCCAAAATACACAATGTGACAATTAAAATACATACAATGTGATACCCAAAACACACTTAGTAAACATCGAGACCACTGTGATACCAACTGTGGTACCACTATCTACATTGTATATATATGTATGTGTGTGTACATCGTACACTATGTGTGTTGTATATGTGCAGTGTGTATATGTCTGTTGCAGGTTTGGAGGTTGCGTTGGAGAAGAAGATTGGGACGAAGATGACCACCAGAATACAGGGTTTTCCCGGATGAAGGGTAATCGATGAGAGTGTTTGAGGGGGAAATGGAGGAGAATGTCGATGGAGATGGTGATTAGTAGAGGGGATAGGGGAAGGAAGACAAGTAGTTGGGGTGGGGAGGTCACAGGAACAAAGATGGGGCTAGCTGTCGGAGATGCTCATAGGTGGGTGTTTAGTGGTCGATCGCTGGAGACGATGTCTTGGTCGGACAAGATGATTGGAGGAGGTCACCGGAGTGGTGGGTGCCGGAGAAGGCCAATGGATTTGGTCCCTATGTGTTTGTATGTATGTATGTATGTATGTATGTATGTATGTATGTATGTATGTATGTATGTATGTATGTATGTATGTATGTATGTATGTATGTGTGTGTGTATGNGTATGTATGTATGTATGTATGTATGTATGTATGTATGTATGTATGTATGTATGTATGTATGTATGTATGTATGTATGTGTGTGTGTATGTATGTAGCGTTGATGTATATATCATCAAATATGTGCATTGACGAGATAGTTAGTCAAATGGAAATGGTATAGATGTAGGTCGTAGAAAAAAATTATGAAAGGACCGGATATTTGTTTCGCCATCTCAAAAATAAACGAGAATGAGGATTTACTGTTTGAAAAAATTTAATATCAAACATCCAACCAATGTCACTATCATGGTTGGTTAATTTACACTCTCAATTACAAAAAAAAAAATAACACCAATTGATGAAATACATAAATATATAAACCAAAATGTCATGTCTATTTTTGTTGATGTTGATCCTAATGAAAAGTCAATGATATTCAAACGTGAACCATAATTAGTCTTTACTGATTTTCCTTGAATTAAGTTTGATTATGGTTGATGATGATGATACTTGATTATGTTGAAGCCACTGAATAATAGTTCTATTTTGGATCAATTAATTGCAAGTGGTTGTGTTATCATAGATTTGCCCATTTGGGATATATTATTGGTCATCAATTTCAATTTAAGAACCTAGTGTATGTAAATATTTACAGTGTTGAATCTTCGTGAAACTTGTGAGAAAATAAACTATCATTGAAATTTCATAGCAATTCATTATGAAGATATGAAAAACAATAAACTTTACAGCAAAAACTCTGTAAAAGTTTACCTTCATAAACCTTTACAATGTTTTTGTTGTGAAAGTTCAATATTATTTAAGTGGTCTTACATGATCACAAGTATAATATATATAAGATATATATATATATATATATATAGAGAGAGAGAGAGAGAGAGAGAGTTTGTTTCAAATACAACTCATCGCATTTGTACAACCAATGCAACTCAATCAGTTGAGATATTTATGAAAATGATAAGAGTTCATTTATTATGATTTGAATATTTATGGAAGATAATTATGGTTCATTAATTATGATCAATACTTTATATTAGGAAATAATCAAAACTTTTATGAAATCACATATTAATCAAATGATATGGACGGTTGAGATTGAGTTGTATTGGTTGCACAAATGTCAAGGGTTGTATATTATTAAACCTCTATCTCTCTCTCTCTCTCTCTCTATATATATATATATATATATACACACACACATATATATATATATATACACACACACACACACACATTTATAGATAGGGACATGCTCAAACGAGAAACCAAACACTTTTGTGAGAAAACGAGGAGTTTAACATCATATATGATTATACACATGATACACAAGTTTATTCATATATGATTAAACACATGTTGCATTGACAACACATAGACGTTTAATTATATATGATTAAACACAACAAAAAGAGTGTAATCATATATGATATTGAAACTTTTTACATGATCATTCCTCTCTCTCTCTCTATCTTATTATATATATACATACATATATATATATATAGGATTAGGTTCACATAAGACCAACTTGTTTTCTAAGACCCATGAGACCATATTTTTACACTTGAAACTTCACAGCAAAAACACTATGAATGTTACATTCACTGTGTTTTACTGTAAAGTTTCAAGTGTAAAAAATATGGTCTCACATGTCGTACAAAAACAAATTGGTCTAACATGATTTCAAATATATATATATATATATATATATATTATATACTAAAAGGTTATAAATGATTAATGGAGTAGTAGGAGCCAATTTTTAAAATTGTAAAAACTAATTGTAAAAACTAATA